TACAGGTTATAATATCCATGGAATACATTTAGTTTGACTAAATTGTTATGAATGTACCTATGGAAAGTAATGGTCTTGTGGTTAAGCTCATGACACTTTGATACCCTGGTTTTCTGTTTCAGACAAAAGTCACTGGCGACGGATCAACAAACTGTGTACAACTGGTACAGTATAGTTCTAAGTCCTTAATGTACAGAAGATAGCCTTCTTATATGTTACGCGATCATCTGATAAACCAAACAGATGTTCTCATTTATTCTTGGAGTATAAATTAACATCAATGTATTACTAATTAGATAGAATAAAGGCTCATTGTCAGGCTGTAACCATTTATACTTTCTCACAGTTCAGTGTCAAGGTTGTCTAGCTTTGGTTACAAAATGTCATTTGAGCTGTTGCTTATCTGAGACTCATTTCAGATGTGCCTATGATTCAGTTGCAAAGGGACTGGTGTCAAATGAACATTTGTACATCTAGATGCTACTGATTAAAGCAATAAAAAAAATAAAATCTCTGGTGTTCTATACTACTACTAAAAATTGTACCATTAAATATTTGCTAAACATTTTTCTCTGACATAAAAATTTGAAATGTATCTTTTATTGCCCTTTGAAGTTTTTCCTTTTTGTAGCATGGTGGTTGTACAGACAATAGTCTAAAATGACCTAATTCAACCATGGCACTGGAAAAAAAAGCATCATCAGATGGCTGTTGCACTTGATAATGTCTATGAACGGAGCCATTCGATGGCTCCATTCACTAAGTCAGTCCATGTGACTGTACATTGTGATTGCTGTTACTGGTCATAGACAGGAATGAGCTTAGTGTTCTGTCCAAACATTAGTTTAAACCAAACACTGGCTGTTCAGATCTAATTGCTGAACATTTAGGGCTTTTGGCATGGAAGAATGCATACTTTCTAGCTGGCAATGGTTCCTAAGGAAGCAGCAGCCACTGCGCCTCTTCCAACAACTGACATCAATCATAGAATTTAACAATTTAATTTAAACAATTTAGAATTTAAACAATTTAACAATTCCCCCTAAATTATTATCAATCAAATTAATTAATTAACAAATGCACACTTCATCCATGGCCCACACACACAGCCTTGTATCAAATGATCGGACGTAATATTCTTCAGAGCTGGACCAACCAGAAATAACTTTCCTTCTAAACTCTGTTCACCTTTCTTTGGTTACTCTATGTATCAAAAATCCTAATCATAATACAGATTTTAAATATGATATAAAATAATAATAATATAATTAAATGATGTAATAATATATTTCCATATTTGTGCAATAATATTTTAGCTCTCTGGAAATATACTTTACATTCTAAACTGTGTCATAGGTTTCTATTGCTCCTATAAGAGTGAAATGTTTCTTAACCTTTTAACAAAAGATGTTCTATTAACTAGAATGATTGTGAAGTTTCAACCAAAAAATATTCAGTATATGAATGTGTCAAAATAATAATAATAATATTCTTATTCTAACATAGATGTTAGTATCAGAATAAGTGGATCATCAAAAATGTATATGTAGCCTATAACAATGTTTTCAGTAATAAATTATTTTATCAGTAGTAGATAGATTTCTTCTGATGAATCCTTTCTTCATGCGATGTCTATAAAATATCTTCTTTAATCTTTTCACGCCGGCACCTCCCGGGCCTTTAAGGGGTTTCAGACATTTCAGGTGGTTTCAGGGCAGGGCGGGGTTTTAGGGTAATGCGACTGCTGTGATTCACTGTCATGGCTGTCACATGATCAGAAAAGGTCCACATCGCAAGGGAAGAGCGCCTTCTCTCAGCACATATGTGTTTTCAAATGGTATGCAAATATGCGGCCCCGCTCGGTGTCAAGGCTCAGCCACCGAGAGGCCGCATATTTGCGTATGGTTGGTGTCAAGAAGTTAAGTTCTGTAAAAGTATAAAAACTTTGCTGAACGTGATACAGCAGTCATAAGTATGAAGTTTAAAACTTGTGTCGAATCTTCTTCCCGAGCTGATCTCTTCTGTAAATTCTGAATTTGTTGATGTTAGCTTTGGAGGAGATTGTTACGCTCCATATTTGGCTTTAGATGCCATTTCTGTAAAAGAAATGCAGTATCATTACTTTGGCATAAACAGTTAACATTATTCTTGCAACTTTTTCAACAAAAGTTAAAAATTATAAAACAATAGTTTTATAAATTTGAAACAGCATATGTGAAGTAACATTATTTTATATTTCTCTTCACAGAAAACCTCTATGTATCTATGTACTGTCCTTGTCCTGTCTAAGATGACCTAAACTATAAAACAAATGTTGTGTGAAATGTAGGTATGACATGGCGCAGCATCTCTTTTTTGGTCATGACTCAAAACCCTGTTTTCACAAACAAAGAAAAGTTTTGTATCACCCCAGAGGTGACAATGGACTATGCCTTTGTTCTCATCTCTATAAAATTAGATATATGCGTAACTGTTTTCTGTTCTGACACAATTATTCTAGTGTTAAACTGTTCTGCAGTGATAAATACTGGTTCAATACCTTTCTCAGTTCTTATGCTGAAAATGTGAGGTAAAGACTTCTCTGATACAGCACTACAAACACGTGTTGGTTTGTGTTCCTGAAAATGTCTTCCTTTTACATTTATCTGAATATGCTTGGCTGACAATGCTCTAAACCATTGAGAATACCTTTCATGACATTCTCTGAAATCATCTTCCTCCAGAATTCCTTTTAGTGAGCAGTCAGGTGTCTGTAATATAATCCTGTTTGACTTTACTATGCTCTCTGATGCTTTGTTTGCATAATAAACACTTAGCTGTTGCTGTACACCTGACTCAAAATTTTTCCAATGATGATAAAACTCTGGAGAAGTAGCTAATTATTCTCTCATTACCTTCTTTTAATTGAGACAACGTTACTGAGATTGCATCCTCGGATACATGAGTTTTCAAAACAAAAGGGGCTTCTATCACGTACCTGGTGATGGAGGCCAATGGAGAGAGGGCTTCCCATGTGGCTAAGTTCCAGACTACTCTGAGAGTTGGACAGTGGGAGTCAGGCCCAAAGTTGCACAGGTCGCTTGTAGGAGTGCTGGTTGATGGTCCACTCAGAAGCACAGCTGGTACACAGAGATAGGTCTACAGACAGGAGGCGCCTGTGCATGGTATGCAAGCCCTTCCGGGATTTAGATGTTTACTGGGTAGTCGGTTCAAGCCAAGGTCAAGTACCAGGTGGGAATCAGAGCAGACGTAGTCAGATGGGATAGCCAAGGTCATACACAGAGAAGCGAGAGAGAGAGAGTATTCGTAAGCCAAGCCAAGGTCAGGTCAGGGGTAAATCAGAGAAGACAGGTCCAGGAGCAAGCCTAGTTGGTATCTGGAAATCACAGGAAACAGGAACAAGGCACGGGGAGCTAGAGATCATCCAGCAACTTGAGGAAGTGATGAGCCTCCTTATAAAAGCCGTCTGGCACCAAACTGAGGCTGATGCGTGCGTCTGTGGCCATACAGGGTACTGGCAGAAATGCCAGCTCTTCCAGAACTTCTGCCGTGGACAGGACCCTGACAGCTTCAGAACAAACCTCTATTGTATCTAATGCTGGAGCATTCTGAAAATCTTTTCTCAACACTTGGAAAGCATTTTTATCATTTGAACCCCATTGGTAAACTATATTATCTTTACTCCTCAAACAATTATATAATGGTTTAACTTTCTCAGTGAAACCATGTATGAACTCTCTGCAATGATTTATTTTATTCAAAAATTGATGCAATGCTTTATGAGTTGTTGGAACTGGAATGGAAGTGATAGCTGTTTCTTGCAATAATTGTCTCTTTCCTTGACTAATCTGCATGTGAAGGTATTTCACCTGACTTTTCATCAGCTGAACTCTTTCTGTGTTTAATTTTAGGCCTGCAACCTGTAACAACATAAATAACTCAGACAAAAGAGTAATATGTTCATCAATGTTCTGCATACTTAATATAATCATATCTACATGCTCAAAAATACATTCTGGCCTTGAGAACTTTGATAGTATTTTCACTATAGACTTATGAACAACACCATCACTGGTATCTAGGCCAGCTATTAATTGAGGGAATGTATAGGTCTCTTTCTGGAACTTGAAAGCGACTTCCAGTACTGAGAACACTTTGGCCTTGACATCCAAATGTAACTTGATATTAGAATGATCAGGAACAACTGCTTTGTTATTTGTAATATGTCTATTCAGTGCCCTGAAGTCAACTAATAAAGAATATGAATTATCAACTTTTTGATAGGCCAAATACAGTTATTTACCACTGATTGTGTTTTTCTTAAAATGTCAAGTTGTACAAACTCTTGAATAATGGCAGAAAGTGTACCAATTGATTCTAGTGGTAACTCGTACTGATTAAGAGGTTCTGGATATTTTCCCTCAATATTCAGTTTTATATTTTTCAAAGTTCCTATGTCATTTGTAAACTTTGACCACAAACTCGGAAACCATTGTACCACTTCCTTTAACCACTAGCCTATGGGGCACTTATACCCCCCCAATTCCTGCCCAGGCCAATTTCCATCTTTCAGCGCTGTTGCACTTTGAATGACAATTGCTGCGGTCATGCAACACTGTACCCATATGAAATTTTTTATCATTTTTTGTGACAGATAGAGCTTTATTTTGGTGGTATTTAATCACCTCTGGGTTTTTTATTTTTTCTTAAACAAACCAAAATCCACTGAAAATTTTGAAAAAAAAATGTTTTTTCTTAGTTTTTGTTATAAAATTTTGTAAATAAGTGATTTTTCTCCTTCACTGATGTGCGCTAATGAGGCTGCACTGATGGGCACTGATAGGCTGCACTGATGGACACTGATAGGTGGCACTGATGGGCACTGATGAGGAGGCACTGGTAGGTGGCACTGATGGGCATTGACAGGCATCACTGATGTGCACTGAAAGGCAGCACTCATATATGGAACTGATAGGTGGCACTGATAGGCGGCACTGACTGGCACTGATAGGCGGCACTGACTGGCACTGTTAGGTGGCACTGACTTGCACTGTTAGGCGGCACTGATAGGCAGCACTGACGGGCACGGATAGGCGGCACTGATGCACACTGATAGGCGGCACTGACTGGCACTGATAGGCAGCACTGATCGGCAGCACTGATAGGTGGCACTGACTGCCACTGATGGGTGACACTGAAAGGCAGCTCAGATGGGCACTGATATGTGGCATTGATGTGCACTGGTAGGCACTGAAATGTGGCATTGGTGTGGCACTGATGGGCACTGGCAGGTGGCATGGATGAACACTGACAGCTGGCACTGATGGACACTGACAGGTGGCATTGCTGGTGCTACACAGATCATCAGGGCACACTGATCATCAGGGCACACTGATCATGCTGATTACCAGCTCTCCTCTCGAGCTGTCAGCGTGACAGCTCATCAGGAGAGAAATGCAGATAACCGGCATTTCCCTATTTACATGTGATCAGCTGTGATTGGACACAGCTGATCACATGACTGAGCCGACATCTGCGGCTCTTTCCATTGATCGGTGATCCGCTGTGTCTGAGGGATCACCGA